GGAAATCATAGAACAGCATATGTCAAAAACACAGTTTAACACGGCTGTTAGAAATTTCATATTGGATAACCGGGTTGTGTCTAGAGATAAGCAAACTGTAACTAATTTGAGAGACTCGATTAGCATAGCCATATTTTCTGAAAAAAGGTCTCACTGACGGACTGCAATGTGTTCACACTGAGTAAAAGAAAAATGTCCTGATTGATAATAAATCTTGCATCCTACTTGAATGAGGTTATGATAACCAGTGCCTGACCGGAAAATTATTCCGCTGAAAATAGTTCGGCATGATCAGCGATGTGATCAAGAAGAGCGGAATCTCTATTTGATTCGATATCCGATTCAACGTTGGACGTTTAGTATACTCCCTTTCGGTCTAGCGAATACCTTCAGTTAACGTTACACAATTAAATAAACTCATTATTTTTTCACCTTCTACTTGGATTAGGAGTTGGTCAGCTGGCAGCTGTCACGGTGTCTAGCAGTAAACAAGTCAGATGGTTTCATCCGGATTTTATCATAAATCTTTAAGAGAGATACATAAGGAATTCCATTAGTTTTGCCGAATCATCTAGTTGTCTGACACTAGATTTTGCACTAGTTGAAAGATCATTATGTGATCGTGTAATTGCTTATTTTGGGAATTAAGTTTTCTTTCTTTTTTCTTTTCTTTTCATTTTACTTCTTTTTTGTAGAATGCGCAAAGATACAATTTTTCAGGAAGAGGGAAGCGGCCAATCAAAGGGCTGCCATACAGTACACAAATGGGGAAAGTCAGGCAGTGGTGGTGGGATTCGAACACTCGTCCTCCGTGGTGAAAATTGGTGGCGCTACCACCGGGCCACCACACCCTTGTATACTCCTATGGAATTTGTGTTATAGTTATCTGGTCCGTAATTTGCGAATTTCATCATTCATGGGTGGATGCAGGGGGTAAACGGATGTAGATATTCATTAGGGAATTGAGACGCTCACTAAAGGAACTGCATCATTTTATTGTGTGCGCCCTTTAATTGGCTGCGCGACATTTACATGCTCTCCGTCACATTCTCACTCACTATCATACGTCGTCCTTACTCACAGGATTTGTTTCAAACGCAAAAGGACAAGTTTTGATGGTTCATAGCACAAATTGATAGTTCATCGGTTATGTGATTCCAGTTTCTCACTGTCCAGGTTGGACCAAAAATGCCAGCGTGCAGGATGGAAGTTGCCCTTAATTGGACTAATTTGTCCAAGATGACTGTCCCTTCATTGATCAGCACTAACAGTCGGTCCTTGTTTCCAAATTTGTCGGATTCAATCCTTCAATCAAGAATTCGTGTAAGTTCCCGTGCAGTCTGTGTACAAGAATCCTGGTTGAATAAGGATATAGATGACACTATAGTGTCGGTAGACGATTTTGAAGTTTACTGACAAGATCGTGGAACAGGAGGAAAAAACTTGATGGGTGTCATGTCACCGTTTTCTGGTGTGGCATTGCCATTATTGCACAAAACATGGTGAGTACCTAACCGTGCAGTGTCGTTTAAGATTCTCCCGTTTTACGCACACAATTTGGAATAACTTGTGTATAGCACCTTACTGTACCCAATTAGATTGCATGTCATTTTTCAACTCCTTCACACCTTCTACTGCCCCATTTTTAGACGTTAAACTACACATAATCATTGGTAACTGTAACCATACTATTACTTATCCCCTTTTATCATTACGTATGACAGATCTTTTTCATCCTTCCACAAGAGGTACTTCTATACTGGACAGAGTAACCGTCAACAACCCAACCCTTTTATTCCTTTTCACTAAAAGCACCTATTTACTCCATTGACCACTGCTTACTCTTAGTTCGACCTAAGTTTCCTTTACATGTAGCATATAAATCTTTCTCTCGATCTGACAAGATCAGATTATGTCTCCATACCTCCTCACCTACAAGTGTTTCTCACCTCAATGAATCTCTCAGGTAGGCCTCTTCATGACTTTCATTATCATCTTCTTCTATATTCAGGTGTGTTCCCCTATTCACTCAAACAATAAATGACAGTTATAATAACTGCTTCCCTGTTCAAAGCCTATATGTGTCCAACGGAGGAATAAACTCTCCTCTATTTAAGACTCTGCGAAGACAAAGGAACAAGTGTACAAGTTTCACAATGCTTCAGCTATCAGGTATTTGCCCAGGCTTGTCAAAGATGAAGTAAATAGGTTGAACGCATTATTATCCGATGGAATGCTGAGGACTGGAAATAGCAAATACCTGTGGGAAGGTAAAAGACTTCTCCGTTGAAGGAAGAAAGTATGGTCGAAGTTGAATGTGGATATTGACGATCTCAATGCCGCATTCCTGCGACAGTTGTCCGACTTTCTTCCTGCCTACACGTCACATAATGTGGAAACATTCACATAATGCTGTTTTAAAACTTGTAATCCGTTTTCTGCTACAGGCCCGGACGATGTAATCCCATCCCTCTTCAAATCTGGTGCTGCTTCCCTCGCTGGGGCAATCACCTCCATTGTAAATGAATCTCTTAACACCTACTATCCTCAACTGTTAGGGGCCGGTCATAATGATACCAACGTTTTCGTTTCATAATGTTACTATCGTCAGCTTTTAATTTGACTGAAAACGCTATCTTCAAACGCCTTCAGCAGTCAATAAAATTCCCAGTAATCCTTGACGGTTTGCTTACAAACCTCATGGACACTCACTTATTCATTTTATCAAGAAGTCTTTGAACAACCTTATTAAGTCTGATCGACGTGTTTCTTTGGGACTACTTCTCTGCATTTCATTTAATTACTCCGTCAAATTATTTAGAAAAACCGAAATCCTTTGAGTGCCCCAGCAGTTGTTAGCTTGGCTATCCAACTATTTTACTGACAGAGTACAAACCACTAGATTTAGGAAGGATTCATCCAAACCCTTTGCCAACTACTTCGGAGTTCTTCAAGGAGCTGCGATATCCTCGTACTTATTTATCACTTATGTTTGTATTTCTTCTACACGTCATTTGAAATATTCAGATAAGGTCGAGCTGTGCCAACCCATTTATTCGTACTCCCCATGTATGTTCCTTTACCGGCATGGTTGATCGAATCCAGCCATTCTCCTTCTCAGCGGCGCTGATCTGAAGCCCCAGTAAAGGTGTTGAGTGTTTATACAGTCTTTCTCGCTCCCCATATTCGCCAGAACACACAATGATTAATAACAATAGTGTATCTGGGATGAATTCCGTTACACATTTCGGTTTAACCACAGATGGAAACTGCCATTACCCACATGCACAACTGCATTGGTAAACTGCGGCCCGTATCATTTCAATTTTGAAAGCTAAAACAGTTTCATGCATCCCAGTCAGTTTCTTCTGTTAGGTAAAAAGAATATTTTTACCTAAAACTGACTATTTTTCGAGTATCTGCAATTCGGAGCATCTCTCATCAATACCAATCTCGCGGAGAATAATCAATCATATCGCGTCATACGGAGACATTCACTCCGTCCGTCGATCCGTGACTTATAATCGATTGAACTTTGATAACTGTGTACTTGATTGGCATAATCTTTTTCTTGCATTGATCGATGCTATTTTGAGTCACATATAAGCATCAGAGTAAAACTTGTAAATTGACTTGCTTCCTGTGTGTCGAGTACACGTTTGCTGTGCACTAGCTGTGTTCTTGCTTACGTAGCTGGGAGAAGGTTACTAGTGCTCGTGGCTTCCAATCTGTACTGTGATCGTACGCGTGAGGCTAGACGATTAGTGTGGTCGTTGAGGTACGTGTGTTCCTCGTGTGTCATCGTGTGATATCTTGTTGTGTGTATATTGTGATCAAACGAGATCCGGACAAAACAATTGGCGACGAGTATTTCACTCAACTCACGATGTCCATATCCGCGGAAGAACTGAAGTCAATCCTGCAGCAGTAGCAGTTGAAGTTTGAAGCTGTGCTACGGTCACTGAGTTTTCAGTCACCGAACGTTTCCAGTTCCAGGCAGGCCACACCAGCAGAGACGATCGCGGCGAGCATCACCGAATTCA